CCCTCACCCTGAACAAGATAAGCTACAACATAGACTTTCGGCCAAGGTGACAGGTCGGAAGGGACGGCGAAATGATTACCAAAGGATATAAGCAGACGTTGAAGACAAAAAGAAAGTTAAGTTTTCTATCTCCCATTCCTATGTCTACATTCTACTCATCTCTCTCTAACTTGCTCGTCGGAGGGTTCGCTAGGGGACTCCCCGTTCCCCGTTGAACTCCTGTGCAAGTTCTCAGGTGGGCTTGGCCATTCAGATATCGGTTGGGGAAGCGTGGACCAGTCCGAGCCATTCCCACAGACGGCGCCAACTGATGATACAGTTACGATACAACGGGTTCCAGAGGGAATAGTCAGACTGGTCCACGCTTCCCCAACCGATATCTAAATGGCCAAGCCCACCTGAGAACCTGCACAGGAGTTCAACGGGAAACGGGGAGCCCCCCAGCGAACCCTCCGACGAGCAAGTTAGAGAGAGAGGAGTAGAATGTAGAGATAGGAATGGGAGATAGAAAACTTAACCTTCTTCTTGTCTTCAACGTCTGCTTATACCCTTTGGTAATCATTTCGCCGTCCCTTCCGACCTGCCACCTTGACCGAAAGTCTATGCTGTAGCTTACCTTATTCAAGGTGAGGGGGTGCTGTTCCGACGGAGAGGTGTTGTCGTAATAAATGTTGTGATGGGCTGCATTAATGGCGATGTGCAGTGGCAATAACTTTGTAGATCTTTGTCTACTGATGTGGCTTGTCCTTTACCTGCCACATGTCTGAATATCATTGGTTCTTTGTGCCATGTTGGCTTCTAGCTGTTCAGGATCTCATCAGTTGGGTTATGTGTTGGGCTCTAAGTGATGGGCTTGGGTTATTCATGGTGGGCTATGACCTTTGTGGGCCTAACCACGTCAGTCACAGTAATATGCACCATTATATAGAAAATGTCATAATAATTGTCACATAATATAAACAGTACATTATTATATTGGATTTTAAGTTTATGTTATAGATGTGAATTACATATAATAAAATAATTTTATGTCATATGACTATTGATGTATCATTTTCTGCCTAATTTTTAACAGAAATTAAGTTTAGGAATAAAATGGAAAATACTTAAAACATGAATGATCAAAGTGAAAAAAAATAAATTTTAAAGACGAAAGTGAAAAAATACATAAAAAGGACAAAACATAATTTATCAATTTTTTTTAGTTGTAACTTGGAAGTGACAACTAAAAAGAGGTGTATAGTAGAATAAACCTTAGGAAAATACTATGGTTTACACCTGGTGCGTAGGGACGGCAATTTAAACCCGGCCCAATGGGGACCCGCCCTCTCCCTCCCCCATCCGATCCCAATTTGAGTGATTTTTTCACGAAAAATATCCCCAACGGGGCGGGGATGGTATTGAAAAATCAATCTCCGATCAATTTCGAGCCAGTGATGGGGATAAGTGTCCCAGCCCCGTACCCAGCTCGTCCCTGTCCCTGTCCCCGTCCCCGTCTCCGTTTGTCCTCAAAGTGAAATTACTATTTTACCCCTCCATATATAAACTAAATCCTCATCCCCATCTCTCTCTTCTCTTTACTCTCTCTCTCTCTCTTCTCTTTACTCTCTCTTTCTCACTCTCGTATTTCTCATCCTCCTAAGCACCACTGCCACTGTCCACGTACGCCGATCGTCCTCCTCCATCGTCCATCGCCTCCGTCATCGCAATCACAGTCACCCATCGCCTCCGTCGTCGACGCCGATCGTCCACTCTTGTTCGTCGCAGTCACCGTCGTCCTCCTCCGTCGTCCATCGCCACTGATCTCCTCTGTCGTTCATCACAGTCACCATCGCCTCCATCCACCATCGCCTCCTTCGATCTTCTCCGTCGTCCATCGCCGCCGATCATCCACTCTCTCTCTCTCTCTGTAACACAGATACACAAATCCCAGATCTATTTGTGTATGTATGTATACATGCATGTGTGTGTGTGTCTCTATCTGTCCATTTTTTTATTTTTATTTTTTGGTAGTGGATCTGTTGATGATTTTGTTGATGTTGATGTTGAAAATGAAACAATTGGGAATGATGATGATGATGTTGATGGTGGTGTTGAAACAAATTTAGGCCAGAGAATTTTTGGGGTCTGGGAAACTCGATCCCCGTTAGGAGGCGAGGGTGGGGGAGGTGATACCTTCCCCGTCGGGGATCGGGGCCGAGGACGGGGATTTTTTAATCTTCGGGGATCGGAGACGGGGAGGGTGGTCCCCGGCCCCGCTCCGGCCCGTTGCCATTCCTAAGAACCCGCAACCGGTCAGCCTTATGGCACGCTTCGCAAAGCGAGCCTCCGGCAAACCGTTCAGGAATAGCATACGGCAAACACGGTGTCCTAGGCGCACCAATGCAAAGAAACACATAAGTGTAATCAAAACCAGATATCATGAGTTTGAGTCAAGTTCTTTAAATCCCCAGCAGAGTCACCAGAAACTGTAGACGTCCCCGAACGTCCCGGGAGGAAAATCCCCGTTTTGTTCTTTGGGCTTACTACAGTTCAGGACTCAAATGTCACGGTCCTGTATCTAATCTCGCAGAGTGCAATGCAAGACCGATGAATCATCAAAGATTCCAGATCCGGGCATTCTTGTCGATCTTCATTAGCTTGAGAAACATCCTAATTTTT